GTTGTGGAGCAAGGAATACGTGGTTACCTTCCAAATTGATAAGATTCCGAATAAATGACGGATTTATAAACATTGTTGATAATGAATATATATATATATATATATATATATATTAATAATAGAAATTTTCACAATCATATAAGTAATTCATATAGAATGGACATCATTAGTAAAATAGATAACTAAAAAATTATTTAAATTCCAGGATGGATAAGTCCACATTTACATTTGTCTAGGGATTTTTACGAGATCTAAATCTAACGAGTTCCAACCTGGCATAACCTTATTAGATCGATTTTTTTAATTTGAGTTTGAGTTCGATTGAATCGAGTATTTAAGAGTATAAGTTCGGATCTAGTCGAATTCGAATTTAGAATAAAAATATTATAACAATGTGAGATAATGTCACCTGAAACACTCTCAGGGTGCAATGTCATTGAACGATTAAAAATAAACTTAAAATTTTGGTTAAAAATCAAATAAAAATAAAAATATCATAGACTAAATAAAAATCATCAAATTTAAAGATTTTAAGTTATTTTATACTTATGTGTACTATAATTTTGTATAGTTCTACTTTGACAAATACGGTAAAGTTATTTATAAAAGCCCAACACCAACCCTTGTTTAACAACCTAGGTTTAGTGAGATGAGATATTAGACTATTTAATTTAAATCAGTAGTTCGAATACTAATGTTTGTTTCATTCACAAATTGGATTAAAAGGGCCATCCTATAATAAACCTCTGCAAAATTTAATCCAAAATAATCGATCAGTATATTAGATATCGGTAATCGGAAAAAATGAAAGAAACTCTTGTGATTTCACCTAAGCCTTCATGGTATGTATTTTAAGCACCTAATTAATCCTTGTGCCTTTTTTTTAAAAAAATAATTTCATCTTACACTTAAATCTCGATATATAATTAATATATGAATTTGAAAATTTTGTCACACATAAATAAAAAATAACTATGTTAAAAACTTATTAAAGGATTTCAGTGTATCTGATAATCCATACTAGTGACCCCTTAGTCGAATTTAAAGGCAAACATATAATAATACAAATATTTACGTAATTACAGTGGTTGATTTAACAGGACACATTGAACAAACAAAATATACCTAACAAATTTGGAAAATCTAATAAAATATGTGTGACTTTGGCGTCTTCATTTTTTAACTTGTGTAGTTTACAAGCCAAGTTCTATTTTAAGAGAAAATTTAAGATAAGGCTAAATAATTATTGGCAAAGTTAGTACCTTTCCATTCTACCATAATTTAATATAATATCGGGTAAAATACACAAATGGTTCTCTAAATATAGGATAATGTTTTATTGAGTCCATTAACTATTAAAAGTCACAAAATGATCAATCGACTATAAGGAGTTGCTTTGTTGAGTCCCTCGACTATTAAAAGTTACAAAATAGTCACTCGACTATTCATTATGTTCGAAAATCCTCCTTTTTTGTTAAAAATTTAACAGTCGTCTGAGTTGGACGTGAACATATTGAATGAGATACGATAGTCATTTGGCCTTTGGGATTATGAAATCATATTTTTTTTCATATCTCGGTCACTAGGTTAACATACATCTCATATTGTGTCCAAATTTTAATGGAAAAAGGACAAGTTTAGAACATAATTAATAGTCAAGTAACCATTTTGTAACTTTTAATAGTCAATGGACTCAACAAAGCAACTTCCTATAATTGAGAGACCATTTTATAACTTTTAATAGTCAAATGACTAAATAAAATATTGTCCTATAATCAGTAGACCATTTATATACTTTACATACATCCTTTTGACCCTTGTTGAAAAAGGGCATTATTAATTAATCAGCACACCCAATGTATACAACATGGATCATATCAGAGGGGCACGTAGGGTCAGCCACTAACGCTCCTAGTTAATGCCATAAATAGCACGTGGATAATTTGTTTTCATACAAGCCAAACCCTAGCAAAACAATAATACATCATAATATAAAATAGACATTGTAAACCCACTACGTGGATGAATATATAAAGATAATGCCATGCTAATGAGTTGAATATGAATAGTTTTATAATATAAAAGTTTTGATATATCTTTAGAAATAAGTGGTTCAATGTTAGGTGGAACAAAATCACACAGTAAAGTTCGATAGTAGTTAAGAATGGATATATTCATTAATCGGTCAATCACTATTTTTTAAGTTTGTCGGTAAATTAATTCAAATAAATATAAATATTCTTATGCATGAAGATAATCAATTTGATCGTTATGGTCGGACTCTATTATGAATTTCTAACTACATTATCCATAGAATACAAATAATTATAAATATAATAAAATATTCCAATTTTATTTATAATAAAATATTCTAAAACTAAAAAATAAATATAGAAAATAAATATATTATATAAAAAAAAGGAATTTAAAATATATAAATCTATATCTAAATATATAGATAATATAAATATCTAAATTGCATATAAAATTTTAAAATTAAAATAAAATAAAGTAGAAAATTAATAAAAAATAAATACATAAAATAAATACAATAATAGATAAAACAAAATGCGACATCCCCCTACATATTTTATACTTTCTCCTACAAAAAAACTTGTAATGCCTACTCCATTTGTAATTCATTCTGATGATGTTTATATATATTTTTAAAAAAAAATTATCTGTTTTATAAATATATATTTTTCATTCTTATATAAAAAAAATACAATATATATATATATATTCAAATCTTTAATTACTTCATTTGTAGTTATGGGAATGTTATTCTATACTTCACAATATAAATCAATCATATTATTTAAGAAATTTTAAATCTCATTTTATCATACCGACTAATAATTAATATCAAAATTTTATTACATTAAATCTCAAATCTAAAACATAAAAAGAAGTTAAACTCCTTGCCGCTAAATCATTACTCGATATTCACCGTGAAAGATAAGATTGTCGCATGAAAATTCATAACCACTATATGCTCGTGAAATGTACATTATTTATATGTGCAAACCCTAAGGGGAAGTAAAAATACATCAAATCATATCAATTTTAGTAGTTAAAAGAATAATTGTTATAACGAGTTCAAACATTAACGACTGAAAGATTAATTAAATGTTCATTATGAAATCGTCGACCGTGCATAAAACATATACTACTTCATGATATTTTTGGATTAACAAAGAAAAGACATCGATATATTTCACCTTTTAAGACCATCTTATCATCAAGCACAAATGCCAAAAGGATTCATAGAAATCTGCTTTTGTTTTAGGGTTTATTTTTTATTTTGATTCACGAAAACTTGGTGGACAGTGACGGATCGAACGCACCCCACTGGTTCTTCAATAATAATGGGTTTTTTGGTTGCATTTTAAAAACGTGCCTCTTGTTTCATTTTCTGCTGTAAGTACTAACCCTACATTTCGTTTTCAAAATGGCCCATTTATCATATTTATGTGGTCAAGGTCGCATACTTAAGGTTCACCATATCCAAGTACTAACCCTACTTTTTATTTTTTATGTGCATATTTTTCATCTTAACCCCTAAATCCTAAACCCTAAAAATCTTATGTCCAACCCAAAACCCAGACTTTTAATCATAAATCTAAACCTTAAATTTTAAAATTTAATTCTCAAACCCTAAATACTAAACTCTAATCATAAAAAGAAAACAATATTATCTTACTATGAACTAAAGAAATATTTATTTATAAATTTTAAATTATACTTAGAACTATACTATTTATTTATTTAAATCTAATAACTATATATTAGTGTGAAACTTATTAGTTTCACATTGTGTAGGTGAATCCTAACATATATATAAATATTTGACGCTATTTTATATTGACAAAGATTTATTACTTATATTAGTTATCTAATATATTTTAGATTTTTTTGTATTTTTATTGATAAATTATTTTCATCTTCTAAACTTTTATAAGTTCACCACCTAAAATTTTATAAATTAGTCAATTCTAACATATAATCTGTGTCCATCTCTACCCATAAATATAACAAATTATTAAAAATATTAATAGTACAAAATTATGAAAAATATAAAATTACTTTAATCAAAATAATTTTGACATTAATATAAGAAAATTCTTCTATCTCTTTCTCTCTCTATATATATTTACTAGTTACACTCACTTTTTTTTTGTTATCATTGAAATTATTATAAAATGAATATATATCGTTTTAGTCAATTAATTCTGTTTTTTTATAACAAAAATTGATTAAATTAATTATAATGTCCCTACTCATATAGCTTTACACTTATTTAATGTTAAGCTATATATCACCACACAAGTGGATTAATTTTAGAACACGAGCACAAGCGAGGAGCAGGGGATTGAGCGTTCATTGTTAAATGGTTGAGAGTATTTAGAACAGATAGTCAGAAACTACTTTGCAATCACCTTTAGGGATGGGCACGGGTCGGGTTTCGGCCTACCCGACCCAACTTGACCCGAAATAATAAAAATATATTATTTTTATTAAAAAAAAATAGGGATATAATTAAAAGAATAGAGAGAGATATTATTTTAATTATCCTTAAATATATAAAGTAAAAATATATTTTTTTGGGGTCGAGTCGGGTATTTTTCACCCTAACACGACCTGACCCGAATTGAACCCGAATTTTTTAAAAAAATTCCAATCCGATCGGGTCGGAACCCGTCGAGTTCAGTTCCTATGTCCATCCCTAATCACCTTAGCTTAATAAAAAAAACCTTGTGAAGTTCCCACGATGAGAAGAAGAATCCGAATTTAAGGCCCTGGGGAGCTTTCTTTTAGGCCCAATGTTTTATAATTCAGGGGTTTTGGTTTTAAAATATGGGCTTTCGTATCAAGCCTGTTTTAGATTATATTTTGAGCAGAGGAATCAAAGAATAATTATGCAAACGAAAGGGACTAAAATCAAAATTATACCGTTGTATGACTTTTAATTTTAAAAATCTTGAGATAAAAAGCCTAGATTTTGTCTATATTTTTCATCTTCAGGGCTGAGGAGGTGTTCGATATCAGTTCCACGCCTCTTCAGAATAAACCTTCTTCCTTTCCCAATATTATATATATAAATATAAATATAAATAATACAAAGCTTCCTCCTAAAATCCAAAAATCGAAAAGCAAAACATCATGGCGTCGCCGTCGCCGTCCGGTAGCCTGACCGATAAGAACGTCGTTTTCAGAAAGCTGAAAGCTAAATCAGATAACAAGGTATTTTTTATTTCTAATTTTTATAACTAATTATTTAATTTGATTTTGTTTTTAGATCTGGAATTTCTGTTATGGGATTCCCGATTTTGATATTTTTTCTTCGGATTTCAAAATTTGTAGATGTGTTTCGATTGTAACGCAAAGAATCCGACATGGGCGTCGGTTACATATGGGGTTTTTCTCTGCATCGATTGCTCGGCCGTTCATAGGAGTCTCGGTGTCCATGTCAGCTTTGTTAGGTATCATTTGCTTTATAGTTTTCCGGTTTTTTTTTTTAGATTAACGGATTCGTTTTAATTTTGATTGTGTATCCAACTTCTCAATCATCCGCGAAAAGAGTAAGAATTTTTTTTCGCTATATCATATAATAGAACCAAAACGATTTATTTGCAGTTCTGGTTCATTACTCTCATAAGGAAACCTATTGAAAAAACTGAAATATCTGGAGTTGTAATTTGATGAATTTTAGAATGGAAAAGTTTTGATCGAGTGCATTATGCTCTATGGTTTGCAATCTTCTGAATTTCAAATGACGAAATTAATGATAATGACAAATTTTGTTTCCTTATATACCTTTGACGAGTGCCTGATCTATGAATTTTCTATCTTCTTTCTAAGAGGTATAGGTTTTGTTTAGAAAGATGCCTCCCTGTAGTTTGTTTCTAATGTTTCAGAATATCTCTTCATGTTTATATCAATGACTTGCAAGGAACTCAAGCCTAATATGGAGTAATAATCTTTTTTTGTTATAAATGAAGATAAATCCATTGTCTGACTTTACCGTGCCAATGATATAGGCTGCTCCCATCTTAGTTTTTAGTTTTTCCTTTGATATGATTTAAAAAATAAATCCTTTCTTTTTTTGGTAGAAGAAACTCTGTTTGTAGATATTAATCTATTATCATACTTAACATGTTTTATGGTAAACAATGCTGTATGCAAGTTATTTTCATATCCTTTATTTTCTGGTTTTTAGAGCTGTTGGTGCTCATTCACAATAGACCTTACTGGCCAAACAGTGTGAATCTTCTTGGTATTTTGTGCTTATTATGATTTATGAAACAGGTCATGGGTGTGGAATTGAGTCATGTAATGTCAATACCATCATACAATATCCCATCTGCTTCTTGTATCTCTCTAGTCTTTGTATTTCTTTCTTCTTGTTCTGAGAAGATTTATATAATTTTATGTAGGTCTACAAATTTAGATTCATGGTCTCCTGAACAGTTGAGAATGATGATATATGGAGGAAACAATCGTGCACAGGTTTTCTTTAAGCGGCATGGATGGACTGATGGAGGCAAGATTGAGGCCAAATATACTTCAAGAGCTGCTGATTTATGCAGGCATATGCTATCTAAAGAAGTTGCTAAAAGTATGGAAGAAGAGGCAGGTTTGCCTTCATCTCCGGTTGCTTCTCAGTCATCATCAGCATGTAATGAACTTCTTGATAGCAAGACTGTTGAAGCTCCTAAAGAAAGTTCTTTAGACAGGGTAGAGAAACCAGAAGTTTCTGTTGCACAAAAATCTTCTCACGCGGTTCTTGCTAGCACTGTTAAGAAGACTCTTGGTGCAAAGAGAACTGGGAAAACTGGTCTTGGTGCCCGAAAACTTACTACTAAGGTCTTAATAAGGATATCTTGACTAGGATAATTACTTATTTTGGTAGTTATTTTAGTTTTTTTTGTCTTGACAACATAATTTTCTTTGATTGTAGCCAAGTGAAAACCTTTATGACCAGAAGCCTGAAGAACCAGTTGTCCCTGTTGCTTCCTCAAGTATTAATTCTGCATCCATTGGCTCATCTTTTCCATCTCGTTTTGATTACTTGGAAAATGCTCAATCTACTGAGTTGAATTCTGATGGCACACAAGTGCTCAACCATGTCGCTCCCCCCAAGTCATCAAGCTTCTTTGCTGACTTTGGAATGGACAGTGGGTTCCAGAAGAAGTCAAGCTTAAATTCCTCGAAAGTGCAAGTAAGTTATGTGGCCTTCTTTTCCGTATCAAGACTGATTAGTTTGATGGTGTTCACTCATTTTGGTTTTAGAACATCTTGCACCATTTATGACTCTTAATGTGCAAAACCCATATTGCTAGTGACGTTTTAAACTGCTTATGCTTTTGTTAAAGTAAAGTTGCATCATCGGAAATTGAATTTCAATACAGAGCTTATAAACTTGCAATTTGTGTTTGTGGACATCTTTACTTTATTCTGATGTAACATCAGGGGACACGTGAATATATACTTGAATGGATCACTTCTGTGGCTGTGCCAGATAGATTTTTAAAAAGAAAACACTTCCACCGGTCTTTATGATTTTGTTACTTATTGTTTCATCTTAATCTCAGATTCAGGAAACCGACGAAGCTAGGAGAAAGTTCTCAAATGCGAAATCTATTTCTTCATCCCAATACTTCGGTGATCAGAGCAGAGCAGACAATGATGCTCAAGTTACTTTGCAGAAATTCTCAGTATGTGTTCTTTTCCGGAAAGCTATCATCATTTTTAAGCCTCAAAAGACATCTTTTCGAGATGAACAGCTTCTTTATTTTTATTTTCCTGGCAGGGTTCAACGGCCATCTCCAGCGCTGATCTATTTGGTAACAGTGCAGATAAATCTCTCGACCTCACGGCCACTGACCTCATCGACCGACTTTCTTTCCAGGTCCTCTCTATAAACATATTCTTGTATGCATCGCATGGATTTGTTTGTGTGCGTATGATATTTGGAAAACGATCGTTCTTTTTCTATTTCATTTTTCTTTGATGAAATGCCACTTTCAGGCACAGCAGGATATCTCGAACCTCAAGAACATCGCGGGAGAGACCGGGAAGAAACTAAGCTCCTTGGCGTCCACCCTTATTACAGATCTTCAGGACAGAATCCTCTAATACAGTGTGGTAGCCCTTTATATATTTACCGTTAACAGCCGATTCGTGTCGTAGCGAATATAATCAAAATCTTACATTTTTTTAAGACGTGAAAACCGAGCTTAGGATGAATCAATATGGGGTCTAGTTTCTGACCCATCTTATACATGTCGATGGCAACGTGTGTAAAATGACATAGGGACTATTAACATAATTTAACTAAAATAATCCCTTGTTCTTTACTAAATTATAGCTCGAGTACTTGAGTTTATAACATTATTGTATCCGAAAACGAGTTTTAAATTTAAATAAGAATGATTAATATTGTTTTCTGAGAAATTACAACTTGCTTTATCCAACAGCACCCAACAATTATCAAAGACAATAAAGGAAATGGCGTTCGTGCGCATGTCTGTCGCCATATGAAATGGTATGTTAGATTTAGAAAATCCAACAAAATGAGAATCTTATTAATATACATTTCTCAGTGCCACCAAATATCAAAATGACTCACTTCCACGATCTCCCCAACATGACTTGTCTCCCCACCTCTCCCAAAAAAAAACCAAAGAAACAAATTAAGATCTTGTAATGCTCTTAGGGACTTGAATTTAACCCGAAATCGGCGGATTTTGATCTGACATGATATTATAGGATCGGAATTTTTAAAAAGATTTTATAATCGGGTCAATCGGTTGAATTTTTCAAGGGAGTGAGGTCGGGTTCGGGTGGAGGGTGAAAAATCTCCGATTCAACCTGATTCGAAAGTAATAGTGTAATTTTTATTAATATATATATATATATATATATATATATATATATATATAATCAAGTCTTTATTTCAGGTCAAAATCAGATGGAGGATTTATATTTTTCAAATCGGATAAATAGTATGTAATTTTTGAGTAAAATCGAATTGGACATAACCCGACTCGTTACCATCCCTCCCCTATTACTCTACCTCTCCTTTCAATTTATAAACCCCCTCATAGTTTAGATTTGCATGGATATATATATATATATATATATATATATATATAACTAGCACGTACTGTTTTGCCAAAAAAAACTGTCAAGTACTATTAATCATGAATAACTAAACTCGGTACGATATTAGGTTAAGGGTCGTCAATTTGAGTTCAAATTATGAGTTAAATTATAGGGTAAAGTACATAGTTGGTCATTAATGTTTGGGGTAGCTTTCGTTTTCCCCACTGATGTTTTTAAAGTTACAAATCAATCATTAACGTTATCGATTAGTTACAAACTAATCACTTAAAGTTAACATATGTTAACGGGTGTGACAAAAAAAATACCTTACACGTTAAGTGATTACATGAATTGAAGTTGACTAAATTGACCGCCACGCTCTTCTTCTTCTACCCCATCCATCTTCTACCTCAACCTAACTTTCTTCACCTAAATTTAGGTAGATCGAAAACCATCTGTAGTGATGTTTCTTGATTCACTGGTACCGTTCCCGATACATTCATGGAAAGAGACCCACTTTCTACACCCAAGTTCATTCTTGTTTGGGAGAACTGGAGTGGCTGCAAAACTCCAGGCAAGCACATAGGATACAAGCTTAATCCATTTCTCCTGGATAGCACAGATTTTGAATCCAAATATTATTTTAATTTTTTTTATTATTTATGTGTTTTAGTTCACTTTAGTTATCAATATATAAGAGTTAATAATTTTAATATATTTAAATGCATTACTCATAGTTGTGATTGTATCTTTTATTTGTAATTTTTTTATAATAATTTCATATGCGACATCATTAAACTTTTATACAATCGATATTAAATTTCATGTTTTATTCACGTAGATCATATATATTAATTTTTTAATAAATTAAAAAATATTTAACTCTTTGTTTTATGTTACAGCTTTTCAACCGTTGAAATATATTAACGAAAACATTATTTCGAATCTCTAAGAAAATCGGGACCGAAATATAATTTTATATTAAAGAACGAATTTATTAAAAAAAATAGGAGTTAAAAACATATTATCCACAGAAAGCGTAAATACAATACATAAATTTTATAAATCCATCAATTAATGAAAATTAATCGTAATAATTCATCGCACGTTTTCGTTTGTATTGTTAATATCTTTTTGGCATATTTACTGTAGAAATATAAAGAACAAATAATAAGAATAATAATAATAATAATAATAATAATAATAATGGAACACTTACAGGAATCAACCTCGATTACAAAGGCTAATGCTGCTGGAAAACGAATTTCGAAACCCTACTTTGCCTCAAAACCTTCATCGGACTCGTGAGATACCATCCCTTCCCTTTCGTCGACGTCGAGGATTTCGAGTCTCCGATTCCAGAACGTGACGTCATTGCCGTCGCCATCGACCTCGACTTCCTCATCATCATCCTTTCATCCACCGCTGTCGTTACACTCTCTTTCTCGACTTCTCTCCGGTGATCTCCGCTGTCAAATCGCTTGCTCGTGTTGGTACTACCTCTAAACACCGACCAAAACGACGGCGTCTTGTTCGTGTTATTGTTCGCCGATAAACCGTTCTTTTCGGTCAAATTCTCTGGTTTCAAACGGAGGAAAGAGATCGCGAGGGATCTGGATCGTCTGAACGCAGGCTCGGTTTCTACAAGACTAGGTTCCCGGAAGACGGCTCCGAAATCGGAGAAGGAGGAAAACGAGGATGAAGAAGAAGAGGTTGCGCCGGTGCACGCGCAAGGACGAGTGTGGGCGCAATCGGGGCAAAGAGACGCTAGTTTGTTTTGGAGACAAACCGGACAGATCCCACTGCGGCGTCGTTTCGAAGGATGCTTTGCGCATTTCCAGACCTTTTCTTCGTCGGCGTAGAAAGCCATTTCCCCCCCTTTGCATTACGTAGTTTCTTTGTGGTGTTCGTTAAGAAGGGAAGCCTTCTGACAGGGGCAGCTGAATTAACCAGGGTTAATTCCGTAACAGCTAGGGTGTTAACCATGGTTAGCTTCTAACTTTTTTGTCTAATTCTTCTATCAGTCCTTTACTCATAGAACATTTGAACTTTAGACTATTTATTTTAATCTCAAGAATTTGGTCATTTTTAATTTAAGTCTGATTGAACCCGTTGAGTGGACTTAATGATTGAAGGAAGAGTTATTATCTTTAGAGGTTTCATGTTAGAATAGTTGTATTTGCAAGGTGTGTGTATTGTGAATTGTCAATAACTAAAAAAGATTATGAACATATACTACCTTGTAATCACCCTAGACTATTCAAAAATAATAATAGTAATAATAATTTAAGCCTGATTTAAAATCTTAAAACTAAAAGTAGATATATTAAATTCTAAATATGTAAAAGAGTAAAGGGACCAAACGGAAATTAGACTTTTTTTTCTAGCTTTTATTTTTTGTACTCGGTAGTACTTAGTTCTAGGAGTCGATGGGTAAGCTTTGGTTGATTGAACCTTGCGCTTGATACCATTTGTGATGAATTATTTGATGGTCCCAGTTCACTACGTCATCCATGGTCGTAGTGAATCACATATTAATTTTAAAATAACTTCTAATTAACTGTTAACTCTTTATTTACACGTAGGAAAGAGATTTGTTTTGATAAAAATGAGATAAAAAATTGTTATTGGTTGGAACAAAAAATGACGTGATGAATTATATTCATAATAATTTTTCTCATTATTTGAGACTTTCCACTAGTCAGTGTAATATTTACGAGAATGATAATAACATTGGGTCAACTTGTGTGTTTAGCCCTTGTATTGTAGGTGAGTTGTGGATTTAATCTTTTTACTCTAATTTGGTCAATATCAATGAATGTACTTTTTAATTTTTAAAGTTTCAATCATAAATTAAATGATACAAAAATAATATGACTAAATTAAAGAACATGAACTAAATTTACAACTTAAGCATAATGCAAAAACTAAAAATCGAATTAAGGTTAACATGTTTCATAGTTACTGTTTTGAGTTAGGATTAAAATTACAAAATTTTAAAAGCTTATATAACGACTAAAATAATCGAGTTAGAGTATAAAGAATGAGTTTATAACTTGCATATAAATGAGGGACTAATAGAAGAGTTTAACCATAAGATAGGTTCGTGGGCAGAAATCAATGTGATTTGTTCACACGTAGAGAACATGGTTGAGCTTAATTAGGCATTAAGTTATACATAAAAATTAGTGTATACGTGGCACCGACACGTTTCAGACCTGCATGGTTGGCCATCTAAGTCGTTAGCCCCACTCAATATTATTTAAGTAACATTTATAAAATAAAAATACCAAACGCAAGAGAAAAGGGCATAGCTTTTAGGTTTTCAGCTCAACAAACCCTGACCTAATATTTCATACGTTATCCTCATCCAAGGCATAAAAGTACAAGCTCTCATGCAATGCATGCATGACATATGCATGACACTTGATCAACTATATATATATATATATAGTAATATCTTGTCCATTTTATAGTTAATGCTTGAGATTATCCCATTAATATTTTCTATTTTGGATCATCGAATTAAATTTAGATACATAGTTTATGCTTGTAGATAGTTTTCTCATAATGCTTAACGTTTTTCAATGGTTTTTCAATAGTTCAATACTCTGTTATGATTCGTTTTTTGTAGAAATAAGATATGTTTGTATCTATCTATTTTTTTAGTTATTTTTTAATGAGTTATTTTTTTTTACCTTTTTTCTTATATATGATCTTAAGTTTCTAATTTATTGTGGTATGATTATAAGATAATCTCCTTATTATGTATTTAATTTATAATTCTAGTTGTTAATCCTCATTATAATTTTCGATATTTTTCTATCTTAATAAAATTAGCCATACCATTGCAGTCAACTTTTGTTGGGCTTGAAGTTTGAACTAGGAATGAACATAGATTGGGTTTCAATCAATTCGAACAGACTAAAAAAAAGTAAATTGTCCACGCTCGATATAACCTAACTCGAGTTTGGGGTAAAATTCACACTTGACCAGACCTGACACACACTCAGACACACACATATATAATATTTTCAGTAAAATACATATCTAATTTAAAATATATAAATAAACGTTATTGTAATTATTCATAAAGATATAAGGTATCTATTATACCAGGTTGGGTCTATTAATTTTTTAACTTCAACCTAAATCTAACTCGACTTTATCCTCTAAAAAAATTGACCCAATCCTACCTGAACCTGAACTTAAGAAAAAGAATTGATCCTATAAAATTACATGAGTCGATATTCTTCGAGTCTAGTCGCATGCCCATGACCCATCCCTAATTTACACTGCTAACTCATCACGCCGGCTCCTCTAATGGCTGTTTCCACCATGTCACACACTAACACCGCCCCCAGCTAAGTAAACCACCGTCCTTGCGGTGTCCCCATCGTCAACCAGCTGCTATGAACTGATCCTTTAAAACATCTGATCCAACCAACCAACACTTCCAAACCTATTTTTGAATAATGTCGGACCCCACCCTCTTAAACTCTTCCCCACGCGTGAGAACTAAGAAATAGTTTTGTTGGATCCACCTTCAGTGGCGGATGCAAAGCCCACTCTAAAATCCGAGTTTCATTATATTAGATGTTCATTTTATTATAATTGTTCACCCTAAAATTTTATCTGTGACTACTCATACAAAGAATTTCAATAATTAATATGTGTGTGTTCACTCTCAAAAATATTTTTGGATCTGTCATTGTCCTCCTTAATACATAAACCTCTCCTACACAGAGAAATATTAAAGCGTAAATTACATTTTTAGTTCTTAAACTATCAGTTTTGGCTTGTTTCAGTATATGAACTTTTAATTTTTTAAAATCATACCTAATGTTTGATGTTTGTTTCATTTTAGTACCTCGCGGTTAAAAACTTAACAACATTGCAGTGTTTATGAGTGAATTACATCGTTCATTCCCCAACTATCTTCTCACTCCTATTTTGGTACTTAAACTTAAAAATTTTGAATTTAACTGCTCAACTTTCAGATTGCTCCTATTTTAATCACTCGAATTTATTTTATTAATAATATATTTTTTACATGACATTTTTATTATTATTTTATTAATATAGAATTAAAAATAGAAAGATAAATTCTGAAAGTTAGAGTGATTAAATTAGGAGTAATTTGAAAGTTAAGTAATTAAATTAATAAAATTTAAACTTTAGTGACCAAAATAGGAGTGAGAAGATTGTTGAGTGATGAATGATGCAATTTACCCATAAAAAGGTGTCGGTGGTTTAATGCAAAATACTAAAACGAAACAAAAACTAAACATTAGCGAAATACTAAAACGAAACAAAAACTAAACGTTAGGTAAAATTTTAAAAAGATTAAAAATTTAAGTACTAAATAGTCTAAAACTGATCGTTTAGGTACCAAACGTATATTTTTTTCCAATATTAAACAACATTGTTAAAAATATATAATCACGAGTAATAATACGAATACAAAAGAAATATACGAATAAATCTGTAGTTGGGGAAACAAAAAGTTGAGCTCGAGGAATGGTGTGGGCTAGAGCCAGCCCGGTATCTCTTATTGGGCCATTTAAAGTGCTGAAAATACTCTTCATGTATGTCTATCGCCCTTTCTTGGCTTCAAGTCATGACCCTTTATTATTGAATTAAGAACTAAAATATTCAGCGTTGAAAATTTGGATGTTTTCATACATTTTCATTGATTTATTGTGTATATATATATATAGATAAATTCTTTCTTTTTTAACTTATTTTTCTTTCAATATTTTTGTGTCATCTTCTTTTTTCTTTGATTTTTATCTAGTCGGCAACGACATTAATCTCATTTTTTGTTGCCGATCGCCAATGACTATTAGTTATCTTATTTTTTATATTATTCTTTTATATTTTTTACTTGAGTTTTTTTTTTAATTTTGAATAAGATTCTCTATCCTTGTGACATAAGTTTTATCTACTCTTGTGGCACGATCCTCATGGTTGTTGGAACGTTTTTCGCATACTTTTGTGAACGTTTGGTTCTTGCACAAAAAACATCATGACATTTATTTTTTGATTGGTTAGTTGGTGGTCACGTATAGTCAGAACCTCTCTTTTAGTAAAAGGTTGTTGGCTGATGTAATAAGCGTCTCATTCGACAGAGACAACGAGTTTTTATGAAAGTTATTGGGGTTTGATATTGGTTGCCATTATCAATGAAAGGTTTTAATTTCTTAGTATAAATAGCTTTAATTTTTTTTCTTCTTTTGTACGAGTATTTTAGTGACTACTGTCTCCAAATTTCTCTCTATATTTTAATGCATTTTAATTTTGATTCCTTCCATTATTAATAAAATTCAGTTGTCATTGTTTAAAAAAATATTCAGCATTGAATTAAGAAGAAAATATGGACTAAACTGACGTGCTGAATTTTGTATTGGATTTAAACGATAATTCTACCATTAATTAATGGTCAGGGCTTCTTCCGCCCTGAATTGTCCCCAGCATAGGACTAAAATAGGTTATTTTACAATTTAATTCCTGAACTATACTCATTTTATCATTTTGATATCTGTTTTTTTCTCTCTTACACAAATATATGATTTTATGCAATGACCACTTGGTTTATTGAAATCTTCTTTTTTCGCCACTTGGCTAAAAATATCAATCATTTCGACTCTTTCATTAGGAAATTTCATGCAAAACGACAAGGTCAAAACTATCCTTAGACCTTCTAGTCAAAGTCAAATTCCACACGCTATGACATGGCGCAATCAAATTGGTCTCAACCCAAACATATGGAACATTAGATAGAATTAGGGATGATAACGAGTCGGGTTAAGATCGGATTTTTAATTAATCTGACTCAACTCGAAAATATGTATACTCTGCCTTAACTTG